TGGGGGTTGGGGGTAGGTGTCACTTGTCAATTATGTCTTCTCTTAATGGTGATAGTATGTGTACAAATATGAACACACAGGTGTGCTTTGGTGGGGTAGTTGGTTGGGGGTTTTTTTGTTGTTTTTTTTTGTTGTTGTTATTTTGAGATGGGGTCTCCCTGTAGCCCCAGCTGACCTGGATCTTGCTGTATAGACCAGGCTGGCCTCAGTCTTACAGACAGCCTGCTTTTGCTAGGACCAAAGGTGTGTACTACCATGCTCAGCCTGTTTTTTTAAGTTGAATAGAAGAGCTAAATTTTAAATGGCATACTAAGTTCAGGGTATAGCCCAGTGATAGAGCACTTACCTATCATACATGAAAGTGTTGGTTAGCTCTTCAACATTTAGTTAGGGATTGGCAGGGAGGACCTTCTTATTTCATCCAGTCCCTAATTTAGGTTTTTTTCTACTGGAGTTTCCTCCCTAGATTCTCATTGTTCCCAATGGTAGTGGCTAGTCATATATTTCGATTTAAATTTAATAATAAAGATTCATTATTTTACTAGCCACATTTCAATTGCTTAGCAGACACACATGGCTACTGTAAGGGGTGGCACAGGACAGAGTGTTTCCATCATTATAGAATAAGTCTATGGACAGCCCAGCATGAGCTAACTGTGAGCTAGCTCCATATGAGCAAAAGAGCTGAGGCTGCCTGTCTACACTGCATCTTTTAGGACTGATAAAACTTACGGGTATTTCTGTGCCTCAGAGGGTAAATATAAACATGGTCTTTAGTCTTCTAAACTGAAAATATTTTGAGTAGGTGGTAGAGTGTTACAAGGTCTTCAAAATCTGTGTTTCTTTTTAATATATTTGTATATGCCCTAAAAAGTGTTTTGTAGAGCACAACTGGTTTCACTTGATTGGCATAACCTGTGGACTGGCTATCTACAACTCTACTGTTGTTGATCTCCACTTCCCATTGGCTCTCTACAAGAAGTTACTGAATGTAAAGCCTGACTTGGAAGATTTAAAGGAACTGTCACCGACTGAAGGAAGGTACAGAGCTGAAAGTTGTGCTGATGGGGGTGGGGAACTGTTCCGATTGCTCTGGCCAGGGATAGAAGGCTGAAAGCACCATATGTGCAAGTTTGAGTTTATTGAACCATTGTAGACGGTACTTGCTTAAGTCATTGCCTGTATACAAAGAGAGGTCTTGGGTCCCCAGGGACACAGAATGAGCTCTACTTTCAGTATCCTGAACAACAAAAAAGGAAACTTTGGGACTTGTCATGGTCTATAGATGACAGTGGAAGGGATTATTGGAGAGAGATTTTTAAAAGTTTATTGAGTACACAAGAGTACTGCTAAATGAATGCACTACTATATATTATATATAATATATATTATACATAGTATACATATATAAAATTATATAATACATACATATGTGTGTTTTTATAAATGTATGTATATATATATGTAGCAATAATAAAGTAAAGGACAGGAAATTGAGAGGAAGTTAGGGACATATGGGAGGGGTTGGCGGGGAACTAGGGGAGATGGAAATGATGCAAATATACCCATGTATGACCCCAAAAAAATTTTTCAGATTTTCCAGTTAAGGATATTCAACATGTATAAATCCTAGAAGATATTCTGAAAGCTATTATCAACCAAGAGAAAATAGTGAAATAGATAGCATAACTCTTATTCATATTATTTTATAATATATAAAATTATATTGAAATTCCCAGTACTTAAAAATTTGTTTATTTGTTATTTGTTTTTATTTTATGTATATGAGTGTTTTGCCTTCATGTATGTAGGTGCACCCTGTGCATGCAATGCCTGAGGAGGCCAGGAGAAAGTGCCAGATCTCATGAAACTGGAGTTACCAACAGATTTTAGTTGTCATGTGGGTGCTGGGAACCAAACCTGGTCCTCTGTAAGAGCAGCCAGTGCTCCTAACCACTGAGCCATCTTTCCAGATCCCCTATGTTACTTTTTTATGTCAGTGAAAATAAAAATATTTCATATACCTTAAAAACAAGTTTATTCATATGTAATTCAAATACCACGTAAATGGCTCATTTAAAGTATATTTAAAATATACTTTAGTGTATTTAGAGTTGTATGCCCATCACCATAATCACTTTCAGAATATTTTCATCACCTGAAAATCACCTGGACACTTGGTAGTCGTTATCCTTGATGCCTTCATCATTAGTCTAGGTAAACTTATTGTACTTTCTGCCTCTGTCAGTTTACCTAAGCTAGATATTTTTCTGAAGCCAATATTATTAATTTATCCTTTATAAGTTTGATGAATGTAATCAGACTTTTCCAGGTGTAGTTTTAGAATCTTTTAAAAAATATTTTTATTGAGGATTTTATACAATGTATTTTGATCATATTCAGACCTCCTCCCCCAGTCTAATAAAATCTAAATCTAACATGGAATCATACAGTATGTTGTTTATTTGTCTTCTTTGACTTAGCATGTTTTCTAGATTTATCTGTGTTGTAGCATGAATCCGTGTTTCAGTTTTTAAATTGGCAAGTGATATTCTGTTGTGTAACAGTCAAACGTATGATATTCCCTTGTACACATACATCACACTTTGTTTCTCCGTTCTTCAGGTGTTGGACATTTGGAGTGTTTCTGCTTTGTAGCTATTGGAATAGTACTACTGTATTTGGTGGTGAGCCACCGAAGTGTTTGATCCTTCCGTTCAAAAGAATTAGCCTGCTCTGTATTGTATTTCAGATGGCCACAGTTACAAAGTTGGTGCTTGAAATGATCACACAGTGATGTTTGTTCATGCAATTGCTTTTTGGCCTATTTCCTTATGATTATCATTTGAGTGCCCTTGTGATTTGGTTTCTCAAATCTCCTTTAAAAGTGGAAATAAATGTGCTTTAGAGGGTTTGCAGGAATTTATTTAATCTTTAATATTTTTTTTTTTAGGCTTGGGGATTGAACTAAGAACTGGGGCATGCTATGTACATGCTCCACCAGTAAACATAGCCCCACTCCTAAAGGATTTTTTTTTTTAATTATGTTTTCTGGAATTATATTCTTAGGATATTGAACTTTAGGAACTTTACACATTAGAGATTTTGACCTTTGAGATTTCAACATTTGGGATTATCAACATTTGGAATTATAATTTTGGGGACTAGGTCCACATTCACTCTTAAGATTCTTCAAGGGATAAGCTGATTTTGTGGTCTGTTTTTTTTTTTAGGTGGTGGAAGGATTATTTTCCTAATGACTATGAGTAAAGCCAGTCTGTAGGGCCATTAGTACCATGTTCTCATAAGTACATGTATATATCCCAGCAATACCAAGGAGGGCAAACGAAGGTCTATAAATTTAGTAATATGTATCAAAGGAAAAGGAAACAATAAGATCTGCTGCCATAATTTTCTTCAAAGTTTAGGTACATGGCTTTCTGTCAGTCTGAATTTATAGCCACTCTAGAATTTTTTCTTTTAGTTTTGTTTGCAAAGCTTCTGGACAAGCCGGGCATGGTGGCGCACGCCTTTAATCCCAGCACTCGGGAGGCAGAGGCAGGCAGATCTCTGTAAGTTCAAGGCCAGCCTGGTCTACATAGTGAGTTCCAGGACAGCTGGGGTTACAGGGAGACCCTGTCTCAAAAAGAGAGAGAAAAAAAAAAAAGTATCTGGACATAACTGAGGTAAAAACACATTATAGTGTCTGATTTGCCTCTTTTCCTTTCCTGCTGTGATTAGGAGTCTTCAAGAGCTTCTAGATTACCCTGGCGAAGATGTGGAGGAAACTTTCTGCCTCAACTTCACAGTAAGAAGTTTTGTATTTATGCTTGTCCTGTTCTTCCATCATGATTATAATCATAATTAACATGAGTTCTCCAAATCAAACACAAAGTCAGAGACTGCCTTAAGTCAAATTATATCACTCATAATACCTTGAATTCAGAAAATGCTTTGGATAAAGGAATCAGTGTTTATCTGTGCACTGAGGAAAATTACCAAAACATTAATCTTTCCTTCTGACATGTACAAGCTCTTTATTTTCTGCAGTTCATGTCATTTTTCTCCTTGAACCCATTTACTGGTAACTCCATGACTTCAAAGATTTTTTTAAGTGTTGATTTTTTGTTTTTTTGACTCAGATTTTTACTCTACCCCAACTTTTCTGTAGTCATTATATTGGTTCCTAAAGTCTCTCTGAGTCATTTGGGTTCTGGAAAGGCAAGTAAGCCAAAGTGAAACTTGTGTTTTTCTGCCTTAAATGTAGATCTGCCGAGAAAGCTATGGGGTAATTGAAGAAAAGAAGCTGGTACCTGGTGGAGACAGAGTGACCGTGTGCAAAGACAACAGGTTAGTCCTGGACTGCCAAAGATATACTTGTGTTATTTTCTTGAAGTTTGACTTTATACCAAGACTGAAATTACATTTTAATCCATCTACAGAGAAGGTAAGGGGTATAGAGCAAGAATATGAAGATTATAGCGATTCTTTCTATTTTTATTTTTATTTTATGTGTATGAATGTTTTGCCTGCATGTGTGTAAGTGCACCCATGTTGTACAATGCCCATGGAGGCCAAAAAAAAGGGCATCAGGTCCCCTGGAACTGGAGTTACAGATACTTGTTAGGTTGTTAGCTGCCATGTGGATATTAGGATCCAAACCCAGGTCTTCTGGGTGTTTAGCCCCCATATAGTAAAATTTTAATAGTAGAGCAAGACTTGGATTTAGTCGTTAACTATTTAGGTATAGATTTGTATCTTATTGGCTTTGACCCTGAGTAAGTCACATAAACTGTTTGTTTTCAGATTTTTCATCTATAAAACATAGATGATAAAACGTTTCGTGCATACCTGGTGAGATAGTTGTGAGGATAAAATAAGTTACAGAATAATATTTTAGAATGAATAAACTCCCTGACTCTAGTACAGAGTTCCTACTATCTAGCATAGTGACTAGCACCAAATGCTACAAAATATGTACTGAATAAATGAAGGCTGTTCGTCAGACCACATGCACATAGAAGGAACACCCAGCTCAAAGTGTTTCCCACTATACTTTTACAATTAATATTTTCTTGGCTCTAAAAGTTGTAAGGATTTCCACCTACCAGTAAACAAGCAATTAATTCTCTTTCACATATCAGCTATGTATTTGCTAATCCAATTCAGTTCTGATTAGCACTGTTGTGTTAGATTTTTTATCACTATTACCACAAATTACCTGAGAAAGATAATTTAAGGAAAGGTTTATTTTGGCTCACATTTGTATAGCTCCAGTCCGATGAGCCACAGATGGTGCAGTGGAACATCATGGTGGCATGGTATGGCAGAGGAAAACTGCTTCTCTCATGTCACCTAGGGACGCAGAGAGGCAGGAAGAGGCCTGGGAAAAGAAAACCCTTCAGTGACATGCCCCCAGTACCTCTCTTCCAACTTGGTCCCCCCTCCTTACAGCTCAGTGGGTACAAACTCATCAATGGATTCAGTGGGTTAGCCCACTGAAGAAGTTAGCACTCTCCTGATCCAGTCACCTCTTAACAGCACCATAAGCTAGGAATTGAGCCTTTGATACCTGAGCCCTTTGAGCATTCAATTCATAGTCAAACATAAAGCCATAACAACTGTCTACCTGAAGACAGTATCTATTCCATCTTGGGGCTCAGTCCTACCTGTATATGCCCATCCCCAAACCTCAGCTTGTTTTACCTGTGCTTTTCCATGACTGGCTTATAAATTGGGTTTCCCATAACCCTCTCATCTGTGCTGATTGATTTGATTCAGTGGGTCACAGAACTCAGAGAAATCCTTATGCTTAGCAGTTTATTATAAAGAATATTATGCAGCTGCTGATGAAGAGGTGCATACATGGAGATGAGGGAAAGAAGAGCTTTCATGCCCTCTAGGACACCTCTAGGAACCTCCCTGTGCTCAGCTTTTCTCTGAACCCTATTAAGTTTGGTTTTTGCAGAGACTTCCCTTCGCCTATCTAATAGAAATTGAATGTGTGGGGAACCCAGCAAAGCCTGTGTGTCCTGGTTCTTCCTGACTGTGTAGCATCTCTTCCTCCTGGTATGGGTCAAAATCCTTTCTGAAATAGGAGTCTTATCATCTAGTATCAGATAAAGTTGGTCAGAGAAAGGCAGGGAAGAAAGTTTTTATGACCCCAAAACTCCAAGCCAGAATCTGTGGACAAAGCAAAACAACACATATGTACATACCTCAGAACATCACAAAATGGTTATGTGTTGTTATTTTATTGAAGAATTTGTAATCCATGTGTACAAATTAAATTGCTCTCTCATTTGAGTTTTTCTGAATTCTGAAAATTCTCAATCCTTGAGTTACCTTGTTAGAGGAAAGCAAATACTCACTTTTGTTTAGTTATGTATTATACTATGACAATATGCATAGACATTAATTTACTTTGCAAATACTGAGTGATTATGTGTGCCAGGCATGTTACAGAGAACAGGAGATGAATAACTTCTGTCCTTCTATCTGTGAGAGGTTCAAGATGTGTGGAGAAGGGTCACTGTAGATGAATGTAATAGATGAAGGTATGCCTTTTGAGGCAAACCAAGTGCCATATAACTAGGTGAGAAATAACAAGGCTTTATTAGACATTAAAGAATGCACATGTGGGGAAGAAACATTTTAGGCACAGTGAGTATGTAAGTCAGAGCTTTTAGGATTGATGATGATAGAGATTGGTGAGGACTTATGAGGTGGGGGCCAGAACATAGGTAGAGTGTGGGTGCAATAGTTTTAGAATGGAGACCATCAAAGCCTTGAGTAAGACTTGGATTGAAAAATGGTTAATCCAGTTTGAGAAAGATAACTTTGGTGACCTTATGGAAATAGACCATGTGCATGGAGACCCGGTAGGAGATTGTTGGTAACTTGGGTAAAGAATGGAAAAAAACAGGATGGAAGGAGTAGGAGTGCAAAGTTGGTTATGTGTGAATCAGCATCAACAGATACAAATGTGTGATTTTTGTATGGTTGTGTGAGCAAGGCTTGTATTGATGACATTGATGAGGTTTATAATTTGAACAGCTGAATAGTAGGAAACAGACTAAAAATAAAACAGATTTGAGAGGGAAGAATTCCAATTTGAATATATTGTTCAACATATCTGTTTGATAATACCCAGGCAATTATTTAAAGCAGGAAATTTACATGTATTTTAAGAAAGAAGTCTTCTATAATTATTTCATTTAGTTACTTAGGCCAGTATCAATTACCAGTGAGTTTGAGGTCGCTTGAATCAATAGAAACACAAACACAAGACCAAAGAAAATGTGTATGTTTTGGAGGAGCTATGTAATTACAATAAAATGCAGCATTGTTGCACATAGGCTAGCGGTAGAGCATCTTTGCTTGGAGAAAAGCAGGTGGAAGGAGAAAGATGAGAGGATGGCAATCTCCAGTGGGAAGGAGGCCTGTGAGAGAAGCCTGGACAGCAGGAGGTTGTGCTTTGTTTAAGCTGTTGAAAGAGTTGTAGAGTCATGAGGCTGTGTTTATAAGAAACTGGGAAATTATAATTTCTAAATTAACTTATTCCTGGCTTTAGTTGACTTTTTACTCTAAATAATTGCCAAACTACAATCAGAGAATCTGTAATTAACTCTATCCAGACAGTCTGCCTTTGTTTCCTTCCATAAGCTTTCCTTCTGAAAGGAGAAAGAAACGGCAGAAAAACTCATAGATTTCTTCTATTCTCTGACATCTTAAAAAAGAACTAGAAGCTAGTACACATTGACTATCTTTTAACTTCACATGCTTGGGACGGAAGCACTCCAGATTTTCAGTCCTCAGACTTGGGAGTATTTGCATAGACTTTACCAGTGAGCACCCTTAATCTAGAAATCCCATGTATGAAACTTGTGAGCATGAACTCAGGAAGCTGCGGGTGCTCCAGCACTTGAAGTCCAGGTTTCTAGGTTAGGGCTTACCCTTGTGTGATATCATGTAGCTCTTAGTGACCATTTCCCTTCGAGACTACCCAGAATGCCTTGTCTTTGCAGAAAGTGTGAGCTCCTCTGCCAGAGTTAAGTGAGGATGCTGAACACAGCAGAGGTAGCTTATATAAGGCTGGCTGACTAGAAGTCTAGTCTTGACTCGGGTGATCTTGCAATCAATAAAAAATAAATAAATGCCCTCATGTGTCAAGGTAGCAAAAAGCAGGTCCTTTATCTTTGTAACATTGGTAATTTTTTCCTCTTTTTTCGGGGATGGGGAGGGGAAGGGGGATTGAGACAGGGTCTCCCTGTAGCCCTAGCTGACTTGGAACTCACTGTGTAGAGCAGGTTGGCTTTGATCTCATAGAGATCCGCCTGCCTCTACCTCCAAGTGCTGGGATTAAATGCTTGTGTCACCACACCTGACACTGGTATTTTAAAAACTTTTTCTTTATTATTTTTATTTTATGTGTATGAGTGTATGAGTGTGTTGCCTGTGTGTATGTAAGTGTACCTGTGTTTTGAAATGCTCACAGAGGTCAGAAGAGGGCATCAGATCCCCTGGAACTGAAGTTATAGACAGTTGTTACCTGCCCTGTGGGTGCTGGGATCTGAACCCCAGTCCTTTGCAAGAGCAGCCAGTGCTCTTAACTGTTGAGCCATCTCTCCAGCCCAATATTGGTATTTTTATTAACATCAAATAGCTTGTTCGTAGGACTTTTTTTCCTTAGTAAGAACAAGCTTATTATTCCATGGGATTTGCAAAGTTTTTAGAATTAGGAAATTTTATGGCAGGTTTATAAAGCAAATTTATTGATTCCAATTATTCCTTTTTCCTCCTAGTTTTGGTGACTGCTTTATAACATATATATGTACATGTGTAGATATATATGTAGTCAGATAACACATGATGACATTTTGGTCAGTGACAGACTACATGTACCACACTGATCCCATAAGATTTTAATAAAACTGAACAGTTTCTGTCACCTGGTGACATAGCCATCCTATGTTACAAGGTAACATATTACTCACATGCTTGTTTGTGATTGTGGCACCAATTGCATGAAGGAATAACATATAATTTCATATAAAACAGAATGCACGATAATGGTAGTAAACAACTATGTTACTGGTTTATTTATAATACTTTTATAATTATTTTAGTGTGCATTCCTACCTATAAAAATGAATGCTAGGGGCTGGGGAGATGGCTCAGTGGTTAAGAGCACTGACTGCTCTTACAGAGGACCCAGGTTTGATTCCCAACACCTACATGGTGGCTAGCAACATTTTAGTTCCAGGGAAATCCAACACCCACTTCTGACCTCCATGGGCACTACACAATACAGGCGCACTCACATGCATGCAGGTAATACACTGATGCA